CTCGGGAACTGACAGTCTACCAGCAGATTACGGCCAGCCTCGGGGACTGACAGTCCACCAGCAGAGTACGGCCAGCCTCGGGGACTGACAGTCTACCAGCAGAGTACAGCCAACCTCGGGGACTGACAGTCTACCAGCAGAGTACGGCCAGCTGCGGGGGCTAAATCTGCTAAGTATGCTGCATTAAGACATCCATCATAAGAATATTTGAACCAAAGTGCTATTACTCCTTTTAGTGTTAAACATGACAATCTCACCACACGCTCGATCGTGTTAATATCTACGAAACAGAAAACAAGCAAGTAAACAGACGCAATAGTTCAAATATGCGATACTTGTTCTTCAGGACTTGGTCGAATCTGTCACCAGTAGAGTGCTAAATTGTGCCAAGTCCATAGATTTCAGTGCTAGATGTACCTATTGTGAACATCTCAGTACACCGTCGCTTTAAATATTGTTCGACCTGAAATTATTTTACGTTTTTGCACAGACTACATTTTGTTCTGAATTCATTTCAAATGTAAATTGTATTTCGGTATAGATGGTATAGCAATACGAATGCATGTTGATCCAATCATTATGCTGCTCCCGAACTATTTAAGAAATAATGAGTTAAATTTATTTTTGAAACTTTCCGGGAATATACTCCTGAAAGCTTCAGCCTACACCCTTGTCGGAGATACTCTATTCTACTCAAGCGGCACGGAGAGATGATTCAGAGGAACAAAAGCCACGGCGGAGTTTATCTTTTTAAGTCAATCATTAATAAAGTCGATCATGATATCCATACACAGGCGCGTGAAAGAATCACAGTTACTCCAAACCGTCTTTAGGAAGAATGCTTGTCCATGTCAGCGAATTCGTTGAGTCTGGCTTCGATTGTCAACAAGGGTATCTTACAAAGGTTCTATAAAGGTGTCAGCCCATCGTCGGTGTACCTCTCGGGAATGGCGTCATGACATATTACAACGATGCAGAGAAGGTCAGAGAGCGTTACCCCTATAATTTTAAGGGTAGTCAGAGGTACTGTAAAGCGCTTTAAATTCGCGGGGTCAATATTTCGCGGTTTCGTAATCAGTACATGTTCGCGGGGGTTAAATTTCGCTGTGCACCCGAGTCCCATGTGTTGTGTAAAGTATTTTGAGTGTGTTATCATTTAAGGACTAAACCTCGAAATACAGGTAAACCGTTTGAAAACACTGATCCTGAGGGTCGTCATCGGTCAGTGACGTCACTTGAAAGAAAACCAAATGTGTATGTACCTCTTTAGGAGTAAATTGTTATCAATTAATCACCTATAACATAAATATGTTGTGGTCAGGTATATGTAAATGTTGTTTTAAATGGACTGCCCAGTTGTCCGGTGATAATCTTATTTGAGTTCATTTAAGCTTGCATAACAGCGTTGGATTATATGTATTTTCAACATGTTGTGATAAGGTCCGTACAAGTGGTTAACATTTTCGATAATTTCGTTGGTATTTAGAATTTGCGGATATTAGTCAAAGTGCGAAATAGCAAAATCAAAACCCCCGCGAAATATAACCGCTATACAAAGTATATGTCCATAAACATGTCCATGTTTGTAGGCTTGGCAAAAACCGGAATAAAAACGTACAATCAAATCGCAATAACCTCTGGATGGTATATATCTTACATATATATGTCACACGAGATTTACTGGTGAAACTTTATGTTGATCGTGATTAAATTATCGATCAGTTCTAGTTTCACAACGAATTAAAACGTTGATGAATGGATTCGTCTTTGTTGATGTTGTTGCTCTCTAGATTATAGGTTAAAATTGATTGACAATGTTCCGACTTAAAGTAGGAGTAAAGAAAGAAGCCCGTACAGGCCTGCACTGGGGACAATTGGTTGTTGAATGTACAGGGTGTAACGTCTACCAACAGCTAAGGTAATATGGGTGTGATATGAAAAAAGGCATGTTTTATTCTGTTAATTACATACTTACTAATAAAATACGGATAGATCTGCTATATAATGATCTTTTTTCTTTTGAAATATTGAAATTGATAAAAGTTTTCCCAAAGTGGTGTGATACTGGTTTTGCGGGCTGATACGGAGAGGGCTGATACGGATTTTGGGGTGTGATGCGAGGGCTGATACGAATTTTGGGGTGTGATACGGAGAGGGCTGATATGATAATAGTGGTGTAACTTCCGCAATAATTTGTATTACTGTTGGTAGTAAAACGTTGCTGAAGTATTAAAAAATAACTACCAAATCTTGTTGTATACCATAAATGAACGTTGATCGAAACCCAGCTGTGATATGTAATGTAAGCAGATTACATAGAAATTGATACGGGCTAATATTGGGTTCGCGTGTTGATACTGAGTGTGATACCGAAAAAGGCATGTTTTATTCTCTATGTAATCTGTATACATTACAAATCACAGTACTTGTTATAATAAAAAGAACAGCTGGGTTTCGATCAATGTTCATTTATGGAATACAACATGATTTGGTAGTTATTTCTTAATACTTCCATATGGTATCGTAGCAGAATTGGGATACCCGAGCCGAGGTCAACCTTATGTACCTGTAACTGCAGTGTTAATCAAAATGTGTAGTCCCCCTCATTCTACCTCGCTGATAAGTTTTCTAAACCAAAAATACAGTACGAATACAGACAAGGTCTTCATACAGGTCTAGCCCATATCAGCATTACTTGTTGTGTAAAGAACGTAAGCATTGGAGAAGCATGTCAGCGAGATTGGCACTAGTGTGGGTAAATAGGTGCCAGTCACATGCCATGTGATAACATTATATGCATACGGATTTGGTGAACTATTATTGTTTACATACTTCAGGAATACTAGTTAGTGTTGATTTATGATCAAGGGTATATATATACTTCTTCAAGCTTATATGTAGATAGGAAAATGCCTGATAATATTCATGTGAGAAAGACCGATAGCCAGTCTCCTATCTGGAGTTCGTTAATCTGTTGTTTGGGTGACATTGCGTCAAAAGGATCCATTTCGGCTTGCAGTCGGGAACCGTCGGCACTTTCCGTAAACGAGAAAATACGAGGTATTTGTCGACGGTTCCCGATGGTTCGTCCTGTTGTGATTGGTTGCCTTGTTGTGCACTCTACAGTTGTGCAGTGCAATTGCCTTTTCTAAGTGGCATGTCCTTGTAAATCACTTTTACTAAGTTTATACACAAAGCTGTCACTTCCTATACACGTAAATCTAACGGATTGCAGCGCCAACAATTTAATAGGGGGCTCCGAAAGGAGATATGTGTTTATTAAATTGTTAGGATATTACTGAAATAACAGGGTTTCAACTATAAGTCAAATAATAATAAGAAACCGGTTTAATTTCGACATAACATCAAACTTAAATTAGTTTGATAGCTGGATGGTATTTGATTACTTGGCAGTGTTCGCCAACTGGAGGTCGGGGGTGTGACGCATACATGTGCGTCCATTGGCTGCCGCTATCAGTACCCATTGAAAGGTCCACCACAGGGTGAATTATTTTATGAATTTAGATCCATCTTCTTCCGAATTTCAGGCAACATAACAACCATTCATTGACCCATCCTTTTTTTAACGTTTTTGAGTTTGAATATGAAATGAATAAATGCACTCGTTCATCTCTTTTAACAGCGGTTTATTTCGCACTACAACTTCAGTGATCTGCCTCCCCAAAGTACCCCTGTTTTCGTTTACAGTAACCCATTGACCCCAAACATTGGTGAATGGGGCAGAATGTAAACACAGCGGAGGTGAGAGCTTGACGTGAAACTATGAAATCGGGACAGACTGTGGCTTTCGACCACGTCAACATAGTAAACATGACGTTAATAACAGCCATAAACACATTTTAAAGTATAAACTCGATGTCAGAATGTACCAGAGCTCGGGGTCCTGGTAGTGATATTACATTTATTTGACTATGAAATCGTGTCTTATGTGATCTGTCCTGCACAATACGAAGGAAATGTGCACTAAATTGATCACTCAATGGAGGTTTCGTCTGTTTCCATCATTCCTTCACAGAACAGCTAGAATATTTCACGATAACAACACATACGTGTCATATTTAAAACAAAATGAACCAATATATTTCTTATTCAAGTTCGTATATTTGAACTTGAAATCGAAGCAAGTTGTTATCAAAATAAGCTGAATATGATAAGTTATAGATACAGCATTATGAGGATTAAACAAGATATATGTATAATCATTATGCAACCCAAGAACATAGAGCAGGAAATATACGCAGTATTATAAAGTACTTAAACGAGCCTTATTTACTTATGTCAAGTGACTATTAAAAACAAAAGTCCCTCATAAGACAGGCCCATTCCGGAGTAAGAAAGTCGCTGAAATGTCCGTTTTCAGAAAGTAAAGATGAATAATAACATTTTAAACAATTTGCGATCAAACTTTTTCTCAAGTGTGTGCTGCATACAACACACTACATTTTTATTACACTACTTCAGGCTTGACTTACTGAACACCTCGGCGAGATACCGTACCGAGTACAACATAGTACGCTACACATTGGCGTTTTATATAACACGAAATATACATGTACTCCGACATGAAAGATATATCAATTGAAAAAGTCCGATCTTTAGCACGAAAACTTTCATACACAATACGTGACAATGCATAATCTTCAGTTTTGGAGTATCCGAGACCTTGACTGATCTATATATATACATAATTCAGGACATACCTATTATAAGATTTGAAACTATAAATATCAAGAAAGTTTATATTTAAATTGATAATCAGTGAAAATGATGTCTTATAACATATCTCAAGGCTCAATTACGATTCAGTACGGTAACCAAATCAGCTGTGTGCCAACAAAACCTGTCGTATAATACGCCTATGATATTGAGAGACGAGGCTAGTACCTGTGGTACATGATGCTGAATGAAGTGTTATGATCGTGCGTATAATATAAGTTAACTTTGTAATTGAGGTCAACAACTAATTTGAGTATACATACCCGTTAGACTCTCCATGCCCAATAACAGTATCCATGCTGCTCACTGACCAGCACTGTCCGAATGACCAGCAATGTCCGATGCGATCTCTTCACTAATCCCGTTAGGAAAAACCAGTACCTTGTTGCTCGCTGGCCGGGTAATCTTGTAGAGGCCTCAGACGGGGTGTTGGCTTATTCTGTACACACTTGATGAACAGTTCTAGTTCATACCACTGGTCGATAATGTTTCGAATTGTTTATGATGAATTATCATATATTAGATTTTACATGCATTTTGTACGTGCATTCATCAGTGAAAGATATTGAATCGGGGATTTTTGTGACATCACAATACATTTGTACTTCGAATTCATAGTGTACACACACAACCATCCAGCCAATCAAATGACGAGATTAAACACCCCCCCAGAATTGTAACCATTCCATATGTACGGCGCGACGTGTGCAACGCTGTGCACCACATGTGTGATGTTCGCCTCCTCAGCTGAGCCCAGCTGTAGCAATATCCCTTAGAACTAGAGTCTATATAAAGGAACATTTTAAGTATTCTTTGCTGATTAAAGTAAATTCCGTTATTGGAGGCACGGTAGTCTAGTGGTAGGACGCCGGGCTCGTGACCGAAGGGTTACAGGTTCGAGTCACGTCACGGCACTGTGTTGTATATTAATTTGAGCAAGATATTTTACTCCGCTTGTTCCAGTCTACTCAACTCTAAATGAGTACGTGGTAGTGTCATCATTTGTCAATATTGTTTTTAATATATTTGTGGTATTTATATAGCTACACGCGTTCGTATGTAACGGAAATCAACCTTCCGTGTAATTCTGTACGTAACGCATTGCGGCAAAACTTTTAGCGGGCGCGCGGAAATAGCACGTGTAAATGCGAGTAAGGTACTGAGCGGAGGTGATGTAATGTGTTGTAAACCTGTTTGTCCAGTACGTATTGTCTATGTATAGTATTCTTAGTTTTGAATGTTGGGTAGTTTACCTGGCGCACTGGTCACTTTGAACAGAGCGGCCAGAGCGAACACAGCTTTATACTTGCACATATACGTACAGCACTTTACCTAACCAGCATAGAAATTGAAAGATGTAGCGGGCACTAGAGCCAAAAGCACTAAAAGTAAGTACCCTTGTATAAAATATCAGTGTAATTCATTTTAGTATCTATTGAATAATATATTCAATTAACGTAATATTAGACATAAGACACATAGTTTCACTACAGCGTTTAAGAATTCTCTCCTAAATCTTCAAAATTTATATGTTCCAAAATATTATCTGATTGGTGATAGAAAACTTAACATTTTACATACCAGATTAAGAAACAGGGCTAGTACCTTAAATAATGATCTATTCCATGCAAATCTAATAAATTTCCGAAACTGTCAATGTGGTCATCCTGTTGAAGATACGTATTATTTCCTTTTCGCTTGTAACAATTATGTACAACAAAGAATTAAATGATATCGTGAACTAAACTATTTCTTTCCTCTGGACCTACAGCTGATACTTTTTGTTAGTTTGGAATTAAGCCAACAGGAAAATGAAATAATATTTCAACATACTCGGCAATATATTCTAGATTCACATAGATTTTGATAAATATATACCCCCCCCC